CGATCTTGGATAGTTTCTCCTCATCCTCCAGTCACTGTCGATCTTGGATAGTTTCTCCTCATCCTCCAGTCACTGTCGATCTTGGATAGTTTCTCCTCATCCTCCAGTCACTGTCGATCTTGGATAGTTTCTCCTCATCCTCCAGTCACTGTCGATTGGATAGTTTCTCCTCATCCTCCAGTCACTGTCGATCTTGGATAGTTTCTCCTCATCCTCCAGTCACTGTCGATCTTGGATAGTTTCTCCTCATCCTCCAGTCACTGTCGATCTTGGATAGTTTCCTCATCCTCCAGTCACGTCGATTTGGATAGTTTCCCCTCATCCTCCAGTCACTGTCGATCTTGGATGTTTCTCCTCATCCTCCAGTCACTGTCGATTTTGGTTTATTTCTCCTCACCCTCCAGTCACTGTCGATTTGATAGTTTCTCCTCATCCTCCAGTCACTGTCGATCGGGGATAGTTTCTCCTCATCCTCCAGTCACTGTCGATCTTGGATAGTTTCTCCTAATCCTCCAGCCCACTGTCGACTTGGATAGTTTCTCCTCATCCTCCAGTCACTGTCGATTTTGGATAGTTTCTCCTCATCCTCCAGTCACTGTCGATCGGGATAGTTCTCTCCTCTCCTCCAGTCACTGTCGTCTTGGATGTTTCTCCTCATCCTCCAGTCACTGTCGATTTTGGATAGTTTCTCCTCTCCTCAGTCACTGTCGATCTTGGGATAGTTTCTCCTCATCCTCCAGTCACTGTCGATCTGGGTTTAGTTTTCCCTCATCCTCCAGTCACTGTCGATCTTGGATAGTTTCTCCTCATCCTCCAGTCACTGTCGATCTTGGATATTTTCTCCTCATCCTCCAGTCACTGTCGATTTTGGGATAGTCTCTCCTCATCCTCCAGTCACTGTCGATCTTGATAGTCTCTCCTCATCCTCCAGTCACTGTCAAATCTGGATAGTCTTCCTCATCCTCCAGTCACTGTCGACTTGATAGTTCTCTCCTCACCTCCAGTCACTGTCGATTTTGTAGTCTCTCCTCATCCTCCAGTAAACTGTCGATCTTGATAGTCTCTCCTCATCCTCCAGTCACTGTCGATCTTGATAGTCTCTCCTCATCCTCCAGTCACTGTCGATCTTGATAGTCTCTCCTCATCCTCCAGTCACTGTCAATTGGGAAATAGTCTCTCCTCATCCTCCAGTCACTGTCGATCTAGGATAGTCTCTCCTCATCCTCCAGTCACTGTCGATCTAGGATAGTCTCTCCTCATCCTCCAGTCACTGTCGATCTAGGATAGTCTCTCCTCATCCTCCAGTCACTGTCGATCTTGGATAGTCTCTCCTCATCCTCCAGTCACTGTCGATCTAGGATAGTCTCTCCTCATCCTCCAGTCACTGTCGATCTTGATAGTCTCTCCTCATCCTCCAGTCACTGTCGATCTTGATAGTCTCTCCTCATCCTCCAGTCACTGTCGATCTTGATAGTCTCTCCTCATCCTCCAGTCACTGTCGATCTTGATAGTCTCTCCTCATCCTCCAGTCACTGTCGATCTTGATAGTCTCTCCTCATCCTCCAGTCACTGTCGATCTAGGATAGTCTCTCCTCATCCTCCATTCACTGCCAAACAAATCTTCACCTAAGAAATGAATAGCAAACAAAGGGCTGAGTTACAACCAGTTGGTTATGAGTCATTCATTACTCAACTGGGACTTAAGCCATTATAATAAACTGACTCAGTGGTTATTCATCACCCTCCAAACTACGGATGATAAACATTTCAGAGAGAATAATAAAATAGGGGGTATTGTTTGTCTCTATTAGTCCAGGCTCCTTTTGATCTCGGTAATTAGTAAAGGTTAGTGAGGGGGCTTATGTTTACCGTGTCTGTGGGTTGCTTTATAGTGTGTGTACTCACCTAGTTGTACTCACCTAGTTGAGGTTGCAGGGGTCGAGTCCGAGCTCCTGGCTCCGCCTCTTCACTGGTCGCTACTAGGTCACTCTCCCTGAACCATGAGATTTATCGTACCTCTGCTTAAAGCTATGTATGGATCCTGCCTCCACTACATCGCTTACCAAACTATTCCACTTCCTGACTACTCTGTGGCTGAAGAAATACTTCCTAACATCCATGTGATTCATCTGTGTCTTCAGCTTCCAACTGTGTCCCCGTGTTGCTGTGTCCAGTCTCTGGAACATCCTGTCTTTGTCCACCTTGTCAATTCCTCTCAGTATTTTGTAAGTCGTTATCATGTCCCCTCTATCTCTCCTGTCCTCCAGTGTCGTCAGATTGATTTCCCTTAACCTCTCCTCATAGGACATACCTCTTAGCTCTGGGACTAGTCTTGTTGCAAACCTTTGCACTTTCTCTAGTTTCTTTACATGCTTGGCTAGGTGTGGGTTCCAAACTGGTGCCGCATACTCCAATATGGGCCTAACATACACGGTGTACAGGGTCCTGAATGATTCCTTATTAAGAGTCGGATGCTGTTCTGAGGTTTGCTAGGCGCCCATATGCTGCAGCAGTTATTTGGTTGATGTGCGCTTCAGATGTGCCTGGTGTTATACTCACCCCAAGATCTTTTTCCTTGAGTGAGGTTTGTAGTCTCTGGCCCCCTAGACTGTACTCCGTCTGCGGCCTTCTTTGCCCTTCCCCAATCTTCATGACTTTGCACTTGATGGGATTGAACTCCAGGAGCCAATTGCTGGACCAGGTCTGCAGCCTGTCCAGATCCCTTTGTAGTTCTGCCTGGTCTTCGATCGAATGAATTCTTCTCATCAACTTCACGTCATCTGCAAACAGGGACACCTCGGAGTTTATTCCTTCCGTCATGTGTGTGTGTGTGTTGCTTTACATCTGTGGGTTCCTTATGGTGTTCGTGGGTTCCTTTATCTCGTGTCTGTGGGTTGCTTTATCCTGGCTTTAGGTTTCTTTACAGTGTTTTAACCAAGTCTGTGTTTTTATTTTTGACCGTGTGTGTGGAAAGGTGAAATATCGTGTGAGGGTGGCAAGGTATGGGACCTCACAGCCACTGAATTTATAAGCTGAGAGGTGTTATCCTGCCTCATTTCATCTCAAAACACTCTCCTGTTTCAGGTGTACTTACACAAGGGTGCTACTCCCACAGCAACCCATTAATACCCAGGAACCCATTTAGTGCTAGGTGAAGAGGGGCACCTCGTGCCAGGGACTCGAGTCCGGAATGAGTCGAACACAATTAGCAAATGAGTTTGAAGCAAATACAAGAGTGCAGATGGGGATTAATTGATCCACCGTAATTCACAATGACATATGTTAAGTAGAACATGTTTGTGGAGAAAGAAACAAGTTTATTGGACCACTTGACAATGACTGCGTTGTAATGACCTATGGCAGGTCACTACGGAGAAGTCAGTCGAGTAGCTTGCTTGGTAGCGCACTCAGCTCACACATTTAGGTCCGTGGTTCGAGAAATTCTCTGTATAAGTTGAGTCATGTAGTTGTAGAAATTAAGATTATCATTACTGACTCACGAAATCGTAATGACATGATTGCAAACAAACCATACCACGGGTGGGGTTTGAAATCGCGATCAGTCATAAAACGTCGTGTTAGCCACTGGTCCAGCTAGCCACAATAAGATTCGTCCAACTAGGTATATTTCTACACCATAGGAAGGTTAGCATAGGCACCCCTATGACCACAAATGCAAGTTTTTACAGACGAATCTCCCGCTAGCATGGCCGTGACGAACTCTAGCTTTGAGGAGACTTGAGCTAGAGTTCGTCACGGCCATGCTAGTGGGAGATTCGCCTATAAAAACTTGCATTTGTGGTCACAGTGGTGCCTGTGCTACCCTTCCTATGGTGTAGAAATATACCTAATTGGATGAATCTTACTGAAGCTAGCTGGCCCAGTGGCTAACACGAAGGTCTGGAGTTTTGACTCTCTGACCGCGGGTTCAAACCCCACCCGTGATATGGTTTGATTATTATTATTATTATTATTATTATTATTATTATTATTATTATTTCTTAGACTCGCAAACATTAAATCCTGTAACAAAGCCTTCAAGAAATGACCAGCCACTTCAATGATAATGATACGATATCTGAATTCTGAGAATGAGTCCATACGTGGGGTTATCTCAGAGGTCATGAGATATCTGTAATCAAGAGACTATTCGGACATTACATCAGGTTGGCAATATTATTATAATCAAGGGGGAAGCGCTAAACCCGGAGGTTTATACAGCGCCTGGGGGGGGGATGTGGAAGGCATTCAGGCTTAATTCGGGGAACTGGAACACAGATCCAGTTCCCTAAATCAAGAGCCCCTCACCAACATCAAGAACCTTCCTTGAGGGGATCAGGTTGGCAATTAATTATTACATCATGAGACTGAAATCAGTGAACTCTGTGAGTGGCTCTTCATCCAGGGAACTGGAGCTACCCTTCACGTCCTTGGATCGAGCCTAATAGCATTTCCTAGATGTCGTTCAATGGCTATATATAGTTCATTCCACTTAACCGCTGCCACTGTAGCTTCTTAAGGTCACAAATTAACTCTTCGATTTACGTATGTCTGGTATTAGGGTGGGTTAGGGTGGGTTATTACCCGTTCCGAGGTTTTTGAAGCATACATGGGCTTATTTTTAATGCTAAGTACTCGTATAAGAAGAAATCAATAAAATCGTCACTGTAAATATGAAAAGCTGTTACCTCGGCACTTTCGTGTGCTTGCACGTCTTCAGGAATTATAAAAGAATAAAGGAAAGCATATTTTATTGGTTCTAGGTGCGGTGACTTCCATGATTTTAGGCCTTCAGCAGAACTACTGGTCCACGCTAGGCTGGTCCACGCTTGGCTGGTCCACGCTATGCTGGCCCACGCTAGGCTGGCCACGCATGCTGTTCACGCTAGCTGTTTCCACGCTAGGCTGGTCCACGCTAGGCTGGTCCACGCTAGGCTGGCCCACGCTAGGCTGGTCCACGCTAGGCTGGTCCACGCTAGGCTGGCCCACGCTATGCTGTTCCACGCTAGGCTGTTCCACGCTAGGCTGGTCCACGCTAGGCTGGCCCACGCTAGGCTGGCCCACGCTAGGCTGGCCCACGCTAGGCTGGCCCACGCTAGGCTGGCCCACGCTAGGCTGGTCCGCACTAGGTAGAACCATCTCACAACTACCTTGATAAGTAAACAAGAACAGACGCTTTTCCATGCCTCTCAGTGCCTTTTCTTAAAGCAAGTTACTGTATGATTATTGGGTCTCCAGGCACACGTTACCAGTTCTTCAGGCAACAATCTCCACGAGTTTAGCGCTTCCCGGAGAATATAATGAACAATCTTCAGATTTTGCTAGTGAAGAATCATTGCACCACGAGGCTAAATTTCTTGCTGTTCCCCAGAGGACCCCAACTTAAAGTCAGCTGATGTACCACTGACATGGTCGCTGCCTCGCGCGGCCAAGACCAACATCCTCGAGATCAGTCTCATCTCCGGCCTCTACCACGCCTCCGTCAGCATCAATGACAAGGAGGTGAGTGATGGTGATTATTCTCCACCCTTCCCTACCTTCCCTCTCCTTCCATTCGTGTTACTTCTAAAACAGTTCACAAATAACCCGCACAGAGGAGACAGGAGCTTACGACGACGTTTTGATCCGACTTGTGACTATGTAAATAGCCCAAGTCGGACCAAAATGTCGTCGTAAGCTCCTCTCTCCTATGTGCGGGTTATTTGTGTATCGTTCCAGTCACGGTATTGTGCCTATTTTGTTCTTTACTGGACGAAGACTTTACAGGTTAGGTACGATTTGTCACGAAACAGGACAGGCGTTTCCTGGTGCAAGTCTCAGTCATGTGATGACCCAACACCGGAACTTTTGGTCATCTGGCCAAGGCCTTCCACTGGCTTACCCTTCCACCCCCATTAAAAATATTGTTTTTATTTTAACTACTTGTATATGCTAAGGACTTTACATAAGCAACTCTAGAGACAACGTAAACATCTCTTAACACCTGAGAGAGTAACACGCGTCACAACAGGAGAATATTCCGCAGTGCTTTGCCTTCCCTTCACCGTTGTCCCGTTATCTGCAGTAAGCGATCTGCATCCAGAGTAGCGTCTGTTGACTGTGAAAACAGCGGATATTCACACAGTAACATGTAAAGCGATTTCCACTGGTCATGTTAACGCTGGAGTGTTCGCTACACACTGCTCTCGCCGCTAGATTAATATCACATACGGTGAATCTGGAAAAAAAGGAATAAAGCTTGTAAAGGGCCATAAATACTTAATCAGCTTATCTGGGAGAGTGATTTTCATGTATTTTTACATAATGTGTATACTGGTGTCGCCGGGAGGGAAGGTTATTGAAGAGTGTAGTGCTGGGTCTGACACAACATATTTTATTCTTACAGTGATACCTCTCTCTCTCTCTCTCTCTCTCTCTCTCTCTCTCTCTCTCTCTCTCTCTCTCTCTCTCTCTCTTTTAAACTGAGTTTTACAAATTTAGGGGTCCTAACTTTATTTACAAACTAAAAGCTATTACCTACATCATCTGCCTTTCTCTCTCTCTCTCTTTTGCACATGTTTTTAGAAGGTTAGGTTCAGGGCTCCTAACTTTATTTACGAACTAAGAGCTGTTATCTGCATCAGCTCTCTCTCTCTCTCTCTCTCTCTCTCTCTCTCTCTCTCTCTCTCTCTCTCTCTCTCTCTCTCTCTCTCTCTCTCTTTCTCGCTCTCTTAGACTCAACCTCTAACAAAAACTGTGTCAATTTGATTACAATTTCGCGTCACCTCTGTCACTCACACTTCCACGAGTCATAAGCCGCCTTGCGCGCTCCACGTTCCAACATTACATAACCCATACGCAATTAGCTCTTTTTTTTTTTTTTAGCACGATAACCAAGGCGCCATCTTCCCTCCTGAAGTGTCTACCGAGTCAATAATTCCGTAAATATTAAACTATCGGTCAGCCGTGTCGTTGATAATAGCGCTCCTACGTTACTTCCACGGCCACCGTGCTACTCTCATATTTCCACGTCAGTGGTAATCATAGTGTCCCCCCCTCCCCCCTTTTTTTTTATCTGTTATTAAACTAAGACTTTTGTAAAACATCGAGGGGAAGGGGTTCCTTTGACATCTTTTTTTTTCCTTCTTTTTTTGGTTTTCTGAGCAGAACTTTGTTGGCGAGAAAGAAAGTTCTAATCTGGGAGTGAGGTCGTCTTGGCCTTGTTGTTTTATTCTCTTTGATCTTACTGGAAATCATTAGATTTTTTCCCCCTTCTGCTCACTAGCTTCGAATTACACCAATATTTGTGATTATCTCTCTGTCTCTGTCTCTCTCTCACTGCCAATATTCCTAGTGTAACTAACATCTGCAGGAAGGTATTTACACGGTGAGTGTTCCCACAGTGTAACTAGCAGCCTCACACTGCCGTAGTTCCCAGTATTCTTCAGCAACAGTAATATTGCAGAGGTGATGATAAAGAATATTTCACAGATCAGATATTGCAAAGTTGATGACATGGAATATTGCACAGGTGATGACAAAGAATATCGCTACCAGCAACGGCACCAGCCAGGAGATGCTGCTGACAGTGCCACCTTACTCTGGGTGCCACCTCCATGTAGTCAACCCACACACTGGCATCATCACTCTCTCTCACTACTTCAACCTCCAAAGTCCACTCCTTGACCTGGAGTTGACCTCCACCTTGGCTGACCTCAGGCAGGGCCGTCTCGCCCTCCTCAACACCTATGTAAGTGCTCTCGTGTGTTTAGAACTTTAGAGGGTTGAGCTACAGCTCTGTGTGTGTGTGGAAATAAATGGTATAAAATACCGACACAATGGAAATATAAACACAAATGCAGTATAATGTGATCCTTTATTGACAACGTTTCACCCACACAGTGGGCTTTTTCAAGTCACACACGGATCTACCTGGGGTTGGAAGGTACGAGAGTATTTATAGTCATGTTCAGAATGCAGAAGGTCTACTCACAACTTGTCCAATACCCCTGCCAAGCTACCCAAGACTCTATAACCCCACCCGGTAGATCATCAGATGCAGCATTCTCCACCTGACCTCAACATTCTGAACATGCCTATAAATACCCTCGTACCTTCCAACCCCAGGTAGATCCGTGAGTGACTTGAAAAAGCCCACTGTGTGGGTGAAACGTTGTCAATAAAGGATCACATTATACTGCATTTGTGTTTATATTACTCTGTGTGTGTGTGTAGAACAAAGAATTGAGAAACACAGTGTACAAGTTACTTGCCTTAATAGTACACATAATTTTTGACCTTAATTCATGTTATAATATTCCGTTTTTCTTTTACGGTTATTTAGTCCAACGATCCTGCGATGGAAAGGAAGAAAATACCATAAAATATTACCATAAATATGGAAATTTATCAGTGAAAAAAATAACAAAACACCTAATTACTTTTGCTGTATTGACACACACACACACACACACACACACACACACACACCACAACACACACACACACACACACACACACACACACACACACACACACACACACATACACACATACACACACACACACACACACACACACACACACACACACACACATACACACATACACACACATACACACGCACACACACACGTGTTTTCTGAGACACTAACCTAGTTTCTTCCAAGATGTGTGTGTCTGAAAGCATATTAGCGTTCGGGGTACCTATATTTTCTTTCTGTTACTTTCCCATGCTTGTGGTGGTTGTCTGGAAGACACTGTCGAACGAATTAGTAGACAAAAGAGCAATGAAAGAGAGAGAACATGGTAAGGGAAGGAAATAGGGAGGTAATCCCCCCCCCCCTCCACTTTGGTTCATACAGCATGACGCTACAGCAGGACTTGAAACACGGGCCAGATTGCTCCTCCAGTCTCATGGCTCCTGGGCAGCGCCTCACATCAGATTCCGAGACGGATGGGCGTGGGCGTGGGTGGTGGGCGGCCTGACACTAGCAGAGGCTCTCATGACTAACATGGATGGTATCTACACCATGACACGCCCCCTTCATCTTCAACTCACTCTACCAACACACTCAGCAGGTGAGCAGGTGTCGTGAAGACGACACGAGTCTTGTCTGGTGACGCAGACTCAATGCAAGAGTCTGAATCAATGTTTATTCCTCGAGTAACACTGAAAATAGGCCGGACAAATATTTTTGTTAGTGTGTTTGGATTTAAGAAGATCCTGCTTAGTATAGCCCAGTAGGCCTGCCGCAGTGTTCATTCTTAAGTTCTTCTGCAAACCATCCTCCTGAAACCAGCAAAAATTTCTTACATACTAGCACACGAGTTAATAGGGTTATCAAAGCTTATTTCTTGGGTAGCATTGAAAATGGGTTGAGCAAATATTTTTGTTAATGGGTTTGAGAAGGACGTGCCTAGTATGGGCCAGTAGGCCTTCTGCAGTGTTCCTCCTATCTTGTGTTCTTATGTGATTTATGTAAATTCATCTTTATTTAAGTCAGGTTAAAGTCTCATCTCACAGAATAAATTTATTAATTGTATCTTAATACCAATAAATCCAGTAAAGTATAAAATCAATAGAAACTTTGGAAACTCAAACAGAAAAATACTGTGAATCCCAAAATAAATCACTGGACATAAGCGAACCTTTAATATTTAACCGAAATTATTTTACGCAACTCCGATAAAGCCATTAAAATACAAGTTTAGTATTTACTATAGTGGAATATTGCCTGGAATTATTCATGCTGTGTATATATGCTGACGTCTATTGTATACCATTTTGATGTTCATATATTTTAATGTTTAGTAATGTGTTAATTAGATGTGTGTTTAGGTCAGGTTAATGGTTCATTGCTCACACTACCGCCTTGGATCGTTTGGGTTAGAGTCGCTTTCTGCAGTTTGTGTTGCTAGGTTACCTGAATTTTAATTGGGTTGTCAGTCGCTCAAAGCAGATTTGATTGGCTGACAATTGTGCTCAAAGGTGAGAATGAGACTGAGAAGGGACTCGCTCTCGTGTGTCTGGCAGCTCCATCGTGTGTCCCTGCGTTCTGTTGTTAGTTAAGGTAAGATTTGTCAGGAAAGGGGACAGTTGTTTCCTGACGTGGGTCTTGGTTATACGATGACCCGCTCCTGGAGGAGCTTTGGGTGACTCGCGTGGGGTGGGGTGGGGGTTAGAACCCGCGATTAGAGAGTCACAAAACTTCAGACCGACAAGTTAGCTTAAGCCATCTGACCGAGGCCTTCCACTGATTCGTTGGTCCCTGTGACGTTTCTCTGTCTGGACGTTTTAAGGCCCTTGGTTGATCTGGCTCCTTGAATGTCCATACAAGTAATCCAGAGGGATTAGTGGAGCAGCAGCAGCAGCCGCCAGGTGGCAGCAGCAGTCGTGGTGATACTGGCGAGATGTAAATTTCTTTAGTTACCCGACATGGACCCCCCCCCCCCCCCCTTTCCCCTTCAAGGGAGGGTCCTGGATGCTGGTGAAGGGTTCTTGATCTAGGGACTTGGCTGTGTTCCAATTCCCTGAACGGGGCCTGAATGCCTACCATCCCTTTGCCCACAGACGTTTAGCCTCCTCATGATAATACCAGTCACCAGACATGATCATTGCATGGTTTATCCAAGACGATAATCTCGTGCATCCTGGTGGTTTTCTTCCCGTCACTGGAGATCAAAGATAGATATAGATAGATGATTTATATCCTTAAAAGTACACACACTTGCACCTCCAAGCTGACCTACACTGTTACTTGTTGACACTGGTAGCTCCATCGTCCCTCAGATGTTGTGTTCAATCTAATTAGGTAGTTATATTTCCAATTTAACTCATTTAAGTAGTTCTGTATGGTGCTTGAGAACATTCATCTCTCATTAACTACTTATGGAACTTAATCATGTTACTGCAACACCTGACCAGATTCATGGCTCACAAGTACTGTATCCTGACGACTGAGATTCGTGAATGGAATGGGAATTAACTGTTAGGGAGGATAACTAGCGGTGGCTCTGAGGGCTTGTTATTGTGTAAACTAATTGGCTGTTTAATAATGTAGTTCGGCCAGGCTCTGTGATCTGTTTAAACCCTGGTATGTTATGAGGTCTCTCTCTCTCTCTCTCTCTCTCTCTCTCTCTCTCTCTCTCTCTCTCTCTCTCTCTCTCTCTCTCTCTCTCTCTCTCTCTCTCTCTCTCTCTCTCTCTCTCTCTCTCTCTCTCTCATCCTGTATCTTTCCTACCTTGCCTGTTTAACTTCCATCTCTTCATTTGATTTACTTGATCTCTTTTTCCACTCATTCTGTCTCCATTAAAAAAAAAAACAATGTATCGAATAGTGCGTGACGCTATTATCATCCGGAGGGTCGAGCTTGCACTCTCCCTGGCGCTCAACCACCAATAAGAGTTTGACGGCTTCCACCTACGTCTTTATAATCCATCGCTGAGGCTTCGTTCAGGATCTGGGTCTAAACTGTGTATCAGTGGTCTACAGTGTCACGCCGATGACGTAGACGTCTCTGCAATATCCGGGTATCGTGTTTTAGACGATTCCCTCTTCTACAGTCTTCTCCCCCCCCCCCATGTATTGATAAAGCCACTGGATGGCGAGACGTCTGCATAATAGATGTCCAGCTGATGTACAGTGTGTGGACTTCATCAAGCTAAGAGGTGCTGTTCTGCTAGTGTTTCCTAGCACATTCCATGGTATCAAATATACTGTAAATGCGAGTTTTTTAATATAAATCTTAAAGCGAAACTCTGTATATGGAAACAGTTTAAACTGCTCTGATAATTTTGTATTAATAAAACTGATAATGACGAGTGTCCTCACCCGAGATGTGTGCGTGTGTGTATATATATATATATAAATATATTTATAATTTGTTGCTTCTATATTACGACCCTTCCAGGGACTGCATTGGTAAGATTTTGTTCAGATTTTTAACCCCGGAGGGTTAGCCACCCATGATAACCCATGAAAGTCAGTGCGTCATCGAGAACTGACTTATTTCCATTGTTGTCCTCAATCTTGTCCCCCAGGATGCTACCCACACCAGTCGACTAACACCCAAGTACCTACTTGCTTGCTAGGTGAACAGGACAACAGGTGTAAGGAAACGCGTCGCAATGTTTTCACCTCACCGGGAATCGAACCCGGACCATCCGCGTGTGAAGCGAAGAACTTGATCCAAGGAATTGGAGGTGCTCTTCCCCAAATGAAGGTTGATGATCACATTCCATTGGTTGTGTAGAACTTCTGGGTTTAGAACTTTCCCATAATAAGTAATATGCTCCACAGAACGACTGTGCAGCAGCTGGCCCTCTGGCGGGGGATGGGAGAAACGTCACTACTTCTGTGACCTCTACGATGGCTACGGTGACCTCTGCTCCTGTGTGACCCCAGCCCTAGTCCCCCCACCTCCGACTCTCAAGCAGGTCAGTTTTATTTTTTTTTTTTTTTTGGCATTTCAGGCAATCGAGGTGATGTAGTTTGCATTTGATGACCTCCAGCTCCTGGTCCTATTTCTTGACTTGATATGTAGTCCAGGACACCACTAGTAATAAACATTTAAAACTGTGGCAAAAAAAATATCATTGAAGGTTTTATTTTTCCCCTCTGTACGTCATCCGTCTTTTCTCTTGTCCTCTTCCTCATAATTTTCCTGATCTCCCATTTCTCATCTCCAATCATCCGTTTTTCCTTTCTTAGCCAAGTTCTGAACCCTCATCCACACCTAGAACCTCACCCACATCACACCCTCGCCCACACCTACAGCTTCACCCACACTGACCCAGGTCTTCGCCACAAGGCTGCTGTGGGAGTGCCTCTGATCATTGTGGGAGTGCCTCTGGTCATTGTGGGAGTGCCTCTGGTCACTGTCCCTTTATTCTCAATATATCTTCATCATTGGTGTGGTCCTCCCCTCTTAACCACCCACCCTGGGAGCTCCCCTGTCCTAGGCTCTATTATCTTCACTTATCCTGCCACCTCCCTTCCCCGCCCTCCCTATCCTTCCTCATTCTTCCTTGTTCTATCCCCTCAATCTTTCCCTCTATCCCTTCCAATTCTTTTTTTGTTCCTTACTCTCGCTATTCTTCCTCCATAATTTCCCTAATTCCTGTTGCATTTCGTTTACTTTCTAGTACTGACATTTCCTCATTTTCCTCTTTGTTTCTGCCCGTTTACTCACCCTCTCTTCCTTCCGTTCTGTCAGTCTTTCTCAATATGTATCCTGTTAAAGATATTTGCATATGCTACTGTAAATTGCTTCTTGTTTCCAACTACAGAAGACAAAACTGAGAGGGCGAGGGTGCTGTCTGATTATTCTTAAATACACTGAAATCTTCCTTGCCCTCTGGAAAGATTATATATATATATATATTTAAAATCGTTTTTAATACTTTTAAAAGTACAATGTACAAGGTATACAGACTTAGCTGACTTCAGTGACATAGTACTATATAGAAAGCTCCTTGTTATGCAGAGTATGTCAGGCAAATTAGGTCAATTTTGTCCCCCAAGATTCGACCCACACCACTTGACTAACACCCAAGTACCTATTTTACTGATAGGTGAAAGTCAAGGTGAAGGTGGACAGCAGGAGTCTTTAAGAAACACGTCCTAATGTTTCCACCCGTACCGGGTTATGTATTTGAAATTCGTGGTTATGGTAGCAAGAATCCTCTAATTACCTCACAGCTGTGACAAGGCTCTCTGATTTTAAACTAACATCATCTTATAAACTTTTATGTGTATAATTGAAAGTTGAGTATTTAGAATTGTTCAGAGAGAAGAGTGGTAAAGGGCTTTGCCATCTGACCGCTGTCTAAACCTTGACTGACATAACTGCTGCTTAACACATGAGGGAGGCCTTCCTTGCCTTATCCCCTCCTCTACTTGCTCGGTCATTCGGCTTCGCTTCAAGAACCGGGAAGGACGCCGAGCGATGCTTAGTCTCCCTGAAACGTGCGCACCCAAAAAAGGTTACACTATCTTTGTGTGCCCCTAAAGGGACTCTTAATCCAAGGTTTTAGACCTATTCTCCTTGTCCACCTGCTATTCATAAATAACTCGCACATAGAAGGAAAGTACTGACGTTTCGGTCAGACTTGGACCATTAACTAGACAATGATCCAAGACGGATCGAAACTTTATTAGTTTCATTTTCCTATGTGTAGCTTATCAGTTTTGTTCCAGTGACGTTGTTGTGCCTTATTATTCTCCACCGGTTACTTCCCATATTTCCCCTCGGACCTTAGGTGCTTTGACTCGCACACCCCTCAAGGGAGGTTCCTTGACGCTGGTGAAGGGCTCTTGTTCTAGGGAATTGGATCTGTGCTCCGGCTCCCTGAATTGCGCCTGAATACCTTCCATCCCCCCCACGTGCGCTGTATAATCCTACGGATTTAGCGTTCCCCCATGATTATAATAATTTTACTCTCACGGGTATAGCGCACCCTCTCCCCACTCTTCCTTCATGAGGCCAATAATTACCTGGTGTGAGTGCTAGGTGTTGGGTTGGACTTATTCCGATGTTTGTCTGTACAGCTCTGGTGTGTATTGGTTTTTGCATGCCAGATGTTTTAATAAAACTGGTAACGTAAGATTTTGCAGCTTTTAAAGACTCCATCCCTCCTTATATTCACCAATCATCTTCCCTTTTCCATCCTCAACTGGTGTGTTGAACTGTTCCACTCGTCTAGCGTCTAAGTGTTCTTGTTCAGCAGGAATGGTGGCGAGAGAATATAACCTTCATAGTACTGGCAGCCAACAGACCTCGCTACCTGTACAGGTAAGTAACAACTGACCCCCAACTGTTTATTAACAGGTCTCTATGGTTCGGTTTCTCTAAATAAGTATATATATTTTTTTTTATCAGGGCGGGAAATCTCTGGTAATTGAAGTATCCTCGTAAGATAATCCTTTGGGTAGCTGCCTGATTTTTTTTCTTTCTGCTTCTCGAGTTTATTTGCTTATAACTCCAGAACGCTTCGTCCGATCGAACTCAGCTTCTAGGAACAATTGCCACGTGCAGGAGCCCCAAGACTAACGTTATTGACTCCATTCCCTTGTGGATTTAACGCTTAGTTTTGATCATAATACTGAACCCATTCCCAGCATCCAGGAATAAACCGGATAACTTCTAAAAGCCTCAGCTGCGTAGCTGCCCCTCCCCCCCCCCCCAAAAAAAAAAAAAATGCCGCCTCGTAAATCGACGACGGTAGACATTAAAGTTCAAGTGGGTAGACGCAGGTATGACAATTTTACTTGTAAAATGCATGAAATCTAGATTGCAGTTTAATCATTTTTTTAAAGAAATTTGGAAATTAGCTTCCATGTGATAACTTGTGGATGCCTCTTCCCCCCCCTCACTTAAAATACTCAACGCTAATATTTAACTGCATTAACAGTTTATGCTGCACTATTCCTTTCACTTGTATTGAAGTACAGTGGACTGGGGTTGTACAACACGGGGGACATATTTCTCGGAACGTGTATCGACCGAAATACATCTCTTTATTTCTTGTGTTCCATTTAAAGTAAAATGGCTTCCCTACGAACGTGGAATGGCAGACCAACTTTTGTTGGTCTGAGTGGAGCTTTATTTCCATAACTTAATACAGCTCTAGGCAGAGCGAAACGTTTTGCCAATAAATGCTTGTTTTGCAAGCGGTCTCTGTTTATACTTGAGGGGAATACGTAGTTTAATCCTGGCCTGCCCATGTTAACACAGCTGCTTCACTGACTTGTTCCAGAATAAAAACTTCGAAAGTGATAATGCACTGTTACGCTTTTCTCTTCTGGTTTATTTTGGTCACTTTTATTGACTAGACAAACCGAGGAAAGTTAAAGTTTTATTACGCGATGCGTGTAAGATCTTTATTCCGGGATTTCCAGAGTTATTACCTGGAGGGTTACCTGGAGGTTATTCCGGGGATCAACGCCCCCGCGGCCCGGTCCATGACCAGGCCTCCCGATGGATCAGAGCCTGATCAACCAGGCTGTTACTGCTGGCCGCACGCAGTCCAACGTACGAGCCACAGCCCGGCTGATCCGGCACTGACTTTAGGTATCTGACCAGCTCTCTCTTGAAGGCAGCCAGGGGTTTATTGGCAATTCCCCTAATGCTTGATGGAGGCTGTTGAACAGTCTTGGGCCCCGGGCACTTATGGTGTTTTCCCTTAGTGTACCAATGGCGCCCTTACTTTTTTATTGGGGCATTTGCATCGCCCTGCCCAGTTTTTTTTAACTTTCGGGGGAGTGATTTCTGGGGTGCAGATTTGGGACCTTTTCCTTCCAAGATTTTCCAAAGGGTAGATTATGATATATCTCTCCCCTCCTGCGTTCCAACGAGTACAAGTCAAGTGCTTCCAAGCTTTTCCCATAGTTAAGGTGCTTGACAAACTTAAACTGCAGTAAAGGATCTCTGTACACTCTCTAATCTGCGATTTCACCTGCTTTGAATGGAGATGTTAATTACAGCAGTATTCCAGCCTAGAGAGAACAAGTGATTTGAAAAGGACCCAATCATGGGCTTGGCATCTCTCGTTTTGAAAGTTCTCATTATCCATCCTATCATTTTCCTTTGCACGTGCGATCGGGCACTGTTGTGATCCTTGAAAGTGAGATCCTCAGACATTACTACTCCCAGGTCCCTTACATTATTTTTTCCGCTCTATTTTATGGCTGGAGTCAGTATATAAATCTGTTCTAGTTATTATCTCCTCCAGTTTTTTCCATAACGGAGTAGTTTGGGAAATTTTTCCTCATTGAACATCATATTGGTTTACCGTTGCCCCCACTGAAAACTTGTTTATATCTTTTTGGAGGTTAACCGCGTCCTCAGCAGATGACAGCCTCATGCAGATCCTAGAATCATCCGCAAAGGATGTACGGTGCTGTGGTGTATAATCCCTCTGTTTATGTCTGATATGAGGAAAGGGAAATAAGATGGGGGCGAGTACTGTGCCTTGTGGAACAGAGCTCTTCACTATGGCAGCCTCCGATTTAACTCTGTTGACCACTACTCTTTGTGTTCGATTTGTCAGGAAGTTAAAGATCCATCTCCCCACTTTCCCAGTTATTCCTTTAGCACGTATTGTATGGGCTATTACGCCATGATCGCATTTGTCAAATGCTTTTGCAAAGTCTGTGTATATTACATCTGCATTCTGATTTTCTTCCAGTGCATCCAAGGCCATGTCATAGTGATCCAGTAGTTGTGAGAGGCAGGGTGCAAGATTTCCTTCCAGGGTTTCAAGATTTATTACTGTGTGTATGTGTAAGATTTAATTCTGGGGGCTAAAATGGGACTCAAACGCAAGAATTCCAGGGATAAAACTTTCTAGTTTGATATTTTTGTTGTGGAAACGCTCGCATCAAAGGTCTATAAACACACCTGGGGAAAAATTGTCCAGAGTTCTATTTAATTTGCGAGGATTTTTGTAAGTCTTTCTTGGTTAAAACCAAGAGACGGGAGGATGAGGTGAAGCGTATGATAGAGGAGGAAAGGGAACAAAAGTAAAAAAAAAAAAAATAGATGTAGTAATGAGAGATAAAGAAAGTAATAAAAAGTAAATTACTCGGGACATTAAACGGAAGAGAGGTTGAGGAGAGTAGTGAATGGGGAAGAGATAAGTGAGACAACAGGAGATGAAAGAAGGCGTAGAAAGTGAGAGTGGGAAGAGAGGAATGTGCAGCGAGAAGATGGGAAGAGAAGATTAGTGAATGACAAGGAGAGGTGCCTGTGTTCTCATCGCCTTGTTTTCATCAGTTGTATTTATTAATATACCAAAGATAAGTCGCACTCAATGTTTATTATTTGTAACATTTACTGCTTCCGGCCTTATGGTCCCGACAGACGATTATATTATCGGTAGATTTGACCGACCGTCCTACCTGCTTACCTACCTAAAACCGGTACCCGATCAGTCGGGCTGTGGTTCGTATGCTGGGCTACGTGTGGCCAGCAGTAACAGTCTGGTTCATCAGGTCCTGATCCAGGTGGCCTGATCAAGGACTGGATCACGGGGGCGTTGACCCCCTGGAACATCCTCCAGGAATACTCAGTACCTAGAGCGATGAAGGTTCTGTGAGGTCAAAATGTTCTTTTGATATCTACCTACCTACCTATACATTACCTCCTAAGATACCATGTCATCCCTCTTACCACTCTGTGAAGAAATACGTTGTACTGCGTCGGACGGATTTCTAGCTCCCGGGCTAGCTTCTTATTTATGTAACAAATGTGTGTTGTACCTATTTTGGGACATCCCAGTTTTTCCATGTTTACGTTTTGCGTAACGAGGTTCTAAAATTACCCCCCTCCCATTTAAAGAGAAAATAAAAAAGGGAATTAAAAAGCAAAAAGAGATTATGATTTTAAATTTGCAAAAATCGAAGACAAAACCCCAAAAGGATTCTTTCAGTATACAGAAGTAAGATCAGGGACAAGATAGGCCCACTCAAAAGTTCCCGGGTCAGCTCACTGACAGTGATAAGGGAATGTGTAGAATTTTTAACACATACTTCCTCCAGTTTTACACAGGAGGATACCACAAATATTCCAGTAATGATAAATTATGTAGAACAGGACGATAATAAACTGTGTACTATTAGGGTCACAAGTGACATGGTCCTTAGGCAATAGATAAATTAAAACCTAACAAATCCCCAGGCCCTGATAACTGAAATGCAAGGGTTCAAAAGGAATGTAAAGAGGAGCTTAGCACACCTTTGGCTAATCTTTCAACATATCACTACAAACTGGCATGGTGCCAGAAAGTGGAAAATGGCCAAATGTGATACCTATTTTCAAAACGGTGACGGGTCCTTAGCTTCGAACTATAGACCAATAAGCCTAACCTCCATAGTGGGAAAATTTATGGAATCAATAATTGCCGAGGCAGTTCGAACCACCTTGAAAAGCATAAATTAATCAACGAAACTCAGAAGGTTTTACAAAGGGCGTTCCTGCCTTACGAATTTTATTAACTTTTTTCACTAAGGTATTTTAGGAGGTAGATCATTTGGGAATGAATATGAATATTGTGTATATGGACTTCAGTAAGGGCTTTTTACAGGGTCCCACATCAGAGACTATTGAGGAAAATTAAAGCACATGGAATAGGAGGAGAAATTTTTTTCCTGGGTAGAGGCATGGTTGACAAATAGGCAGCAGAGAGTTTGCAATAATGGGGAGAAATCAGAGTGGGGAAGTGTCACGAGCGGTGTTCCACAGGGGTCAGTGTTGGGCCCCCTGCTGTTCACAATCTACATAAACGCCATAGATGAGGGCATAAAGAGCGACATCGGCAAGTTTGCCGATGACACCAAATAGGCCGTCGAATTCATTCTGACGAGGACATTCGAGCACTCCAGGAAGATTTGAATAGACTGTGCAGTGGTCGGAGAAGTGGCAGATGCAGTTTAATATAGACAAATGCAAAGTTCAAATGTTGGACAGGACAATAACCATGCCACATATAAACTAAATAATGTAGATCTTAATATTACGGATTGCGAAAAAGATTTAGGAGTTCTGGTTAGCAGTAATCTGAAACCAAGACAACAGTGCATAAGTGTTCGCAATAAAGCTAATAGAACCCTTTGGCTTCATATCAAGAAGCATAAATAATAGGAGTCCCCAGGTTTTCTTCAACTCTATACATCCTTGGTTAGGCCTCATTTTAGATTATGCTGCACAGTTCTGGTCAACCTTATTACAAAATGGATAAAAATTTCCCCTGGAAAATGTAAAAAGGAGGATGACAAGTTGATCCCATTATCAGA